GGTCTGGTGCCGGGCAAACAGCATCTGCTCATCTACATGTCTGGCAGATTTTTTAGAATGAAGCCCTTTATGTGGTGACCTGTATTTTTGTGCACAGGAGGTCACCTGTGTCACTAGGGTTCATAGTGAACAATTGTAGCAATAAACACAGGCAGCAATAAAAACCTGGCTTCACTTTAATTATTCGGGGTGCCTGCTGTCTGTAGATATTTGGTGCACTGTCAGTTGAGAAGGCTACTTTTCCTTTTCGGATAATGCGGCTTCCTGCCCCTGTCCCCGCATGCTGTAAGCAAAACAACAAAGTACTTGAGAATGTTTCATTAGACATTCCGCACAGAGAAGTTACATTCTCATTAGTCAGCGGATGTTTAATTAACGAAGGAGGTAAAAAGAGAGCAGATCCGTTCCCCTTGTAAAATCTTTCCAGCAATCGCCGTGCACGCAGCGCTCAGGACACACCTTTAACTCTTTCCTCGCCAGTGATTGTTAAAGTAAATCTAAAGCCAAATGTGCTTTTTTTGGAAGGAGCAGGGAAGGATTTAAACCAGGGATGAGCAAACTCTGGCGCTGTAACTGTGATGAAACTACCAATCCCATGATGCATCTGTCTCTGGGAGTCATGACTGTGGCTGTGAGAATGGCAATGCTGTGGAACAGGAGCAAGGCAGGGCAAATGGCCAGGGAACAGGAACAAGCACAGCAAGAACATCCAGTGCTGGCTGAAGATCACCCAGCACTGAATGAGCGTCCTGCAGCTCCTTATATAGGCCGAGAATAAGCTACTGCGCATGCACCGACGCAATGACGTCATGCCGCGCGGGGACACAACCCGCCGGGCCTTCTGCCGTCTGCGCTGGTGCGGCCGGGACCTGCTGCTGGATACCCTCTCTGTCTGTGTCCCCGCAGAGGGACACAACCTCTGCCGTGAACAGGTACCCGACATATTGGGTGGGTTTATAATTACGAATGTAATTAATGACTTTTTCCCATACTTGTTTGGACTATTCAACAAGATCCTTTGATCAAAATCTTACTTTATTTTATTTATGTATTTATTAAAAGTATGTCAAGACAAAAACAGAAAATCGTCCATATGACATTGACTTCTTGTAAATGTATTGGTGCTATTGGTGAAAGCTCTAAACCGAGTTCCTTGCTCTGCACACTTCCTGTGCCCATGACGACGGCCTCCCACTATGCCTGTTGGTTTTTTATTTTATATTATGGAAAATGTATCAGGAGTATATGGGACTCACAAAGTAGGTGAGAATGCTTGAAACCTCCAAGTGGACAAGAGGAGAATTGGGAATTATGGAAGGAAGATCTCACCATTGAGGTGTACTCAACATACATAAGGAACCAGGGTTGACTCAGCCCACCAGACTCCACCTAAAATATCAATTTTGGTGGACTGACCCTTTAAATTGTGGGCAAAAATCCTTATAAATCTGGTCAGGCATGCCTCCCTCCTGATCTGGACACTCTACAATGTTTGAGTTTTCACTTCCTTACTTTCTCCGACTTATGTGTGGTTTCCCAGGTGGCTCCTGTATTACTTACTGTGTTATCGCTCAGTAAACTGTTTGTAATGAATTAGACGCTTTGCGGTCTGAGATAAATCTCTAACCAAACACACAGAACTGAGTCACAGCTTGGGACACTGCTAGTCCGGTAGGAGTGCAGGTAAAGGAGGGAGGGTTGATAGAACCAGTACCATGTCATGGGCAGCTGTTATGTATTATCAGTGAGTGCATAATTTCCATTATTAAAGCTGAACTCCAAGCAAACAGCTACATACAGAGATGAACTACATTTATAAGAGCTGTTTTATCTGCCAAAAGATATCTATCCAATCCTGTTAGCTACACAAACCCATAACACACATAAGCCTGGTGGTGGGCAACAAATGTTTCTTCCGGCAGTGGCAGTTGTGTGACCACTTGGTATGGAAACCTTGTTCTATAAGTCATATCTTCTTCTCTTTTCAGCCTTGTCTGATGATGATGATGTGAAAATCATGCTTAATGGCTCCCAGCTGTGGAAAATAAAGCCAGGATGGCAACAGCAGAGACTTTACCAACTTGAGTCTGATGGTATGACCATCTGGTACCAGAGCCGAGCAAAAAAGGCCCGCTCCAAGCAGATCTGTGAGTAACTGCTGACAGAGGCAATGTGTAATCAGTGATGTGTCATGTGTCCTGATTAACCCAATATGTGTTTTCAGTTTGTAAAATAAATAAGACTTCAAGATTGTGAACCTCATGGGTGGGGGAGACAAATCGAGGGAGTGGCCCATGGCAACCCATCAGAGTGCAGCTGTCATTTTTTTATGATTGAGGTTCAAAAATGAAACATCTGACTGGCTCCTTTGGGTAACAAATCTGATTTGTTTTCTCTGTCTCACAGCTTTTATTATACTTCAGTCCATGATTTTTTTTGATTGGCTAGGATGTTTATAAATATGCTTTATGACCAAATATCTGTGGACACCCTCATAAGAGTTTGTTGGACATCCCTTTCCTAAACCATGGCCATTAATATGAGTTTGCAAGCCCCTTTGCAACTATAACAGTCTCCACCCTTTTGCAAAGGCTTTCCACCAGATTTTGGAAAGTGTCTGCGGGAATGTGTGTCTATTCAACCAAATGAGCATTTTTGAGGTCAGGTATTGATGCTTGATTTGAAGACCTGGCTCATAATCAGTACTCTAATTCACCCCTAAGGTGTTCAGTAGGGTCGGGTTTAGGGCTTTGTGGAGGCCACGTGAGCTCATCCATGCCAAATTCATCAAGCCATTCCTTTATTTAGCTGGCTTTGTGCACAGAGCCAAGGTCCTGCTGCAACAGTAAAGGTTGGAGGCCCACAATTGTCTAAAATGTATAGCTGGAGGGCCCAGAATTGCCTACCCCGGCTCCATAGTCTCCTTGCCTCAACTTGTTCAACTGCACTACATTTATGTATTCTTACAAATGTTTTATTGCTATCACAAACTTTTTGTCTCATACACCTCAACCTTCTGCCTCCTCTTCATTTGTATCTTATGTTCACATTTTAAATGTTCTCATCTCCCTTTTTCTCTGTCCTATTCCACAGTCTCCATCTTACACATCGATTCTGTCCGTGAAGGTCATCAATCAGAAGGCCTACGGAAACATGGCCGCCGCTTCCCAGAGAGTTGCTGTTTCAGTATCTCCTTTATGGGGAGGAGAAAAAACCTGGACCTGGCTGCCAGTAGTGAACAAGAAGCCCAAAGTTGGATCCACGGGCTGCAGAAACTCGGGCAAAGGGCCATAGCTATGAGCCAGCGGGAGAAGTTAGTCCAATATCCTTCAGGAATTAATGGAAACCATAAAAAACTGTCACAGGAGAAATGCAGAAGCTATTATTGCTGACCCATCTTTCTACAAATACAAGTTGCCTGGCTCTTATGGTGACCTTCTAGATTTAGCACCTTGGCGCACTGACCCAGAATGGGAACTCAAGGAAGTCAAGTGGGTCAGCATGACTGCCAAGCTACAAGCATTGATAGAAATGGTGGTTTCCTCATGTAGGTTCACTTTAAGCCATGTAGGTGCAGCGCTCCTTAATGTTAAAAAGAAAGCCCAATGATAAATAATATCCTTACGTTTTCCAATTCATATTATATTAAGTAAAGATTCAATTTTGTTTAAAAAAATAACAAATATAACTGCTCCAAAAGCCATTTTGTAATTTAAAGTGAACCTGTGCTTTGCCCTGCCCCATGTGACATTAATAGTGCTTGGCGATTGGCCTAACCCTGTCACATGGAGTGAGTTACTTGCTCCCCCGCAGTTGAATGGAGTGGCAGAGGAGTAGTGGAAATATATGTGCTGCTGGAGATGGGGGCATTTAAGAGAACCTGTTACTTTCCCATACGTAGGTAATGCACAGGTTGTGGAAACAGTAGTGGAAATGTATGTTCTGCTGGAGATGGGGGCATTAAAGAGAACCTGTTACTTTCCCATACATAGGCAAAGCACAGGTTGACATGTGACTGTATATAATTGACCTAAAGGAGACTGGGCTTTTTTTCAGCATAAGTCTAGTTTCACTTTTTCAAGTAAAACATTTAGTACTTGCCATTGTTCCGGTGCTTTGCTCATATACAGGATGTAATCACTGACTAAGGAAGTAATAATATACAATTATTACTAGGACAATCTGGGCTTTCACTCATATGAATAGATGGGCTTAACTCTGGGTACCTCTTGTGGATTATCATTTTCCCCAAGTCTGTCTTTGTAAATCAGGGGGTGATCTTGGTGCATCTGGTACGGAGCAAACTATTATTGAGTATGGGCAGCTGCGTTCACCGAAGAGAGCAGTGATCTCCATATGCAGATGTTCTTACAGTACTGCATCCTTTGCTATGTGTCAGTGTAAGTTTTATATTGCTGCCTGAGGGAGTGTGAGACGGCCATTTGCAAATTTAGCACCCTGGGTTCTGGGGTTCCCAGGAAGCACCAGAATGTAATAGAAGTTATGTCTAAGTAACTCAATGCATGCTCTTCACTGGTTGAATGAACATCTCTATTGCCTCCTGAAAGATGTGTGTAGGGTGCCCTATATCTGTCAGGTTTCACCATCAACATGGATGGCCAAATCTGTTACAGGCCAGGCTGCCTGCCACCGAGAAGAAGCCACATCTACTAGGGTATGGCATCCTTTAGAATACTACTGTGATGATTCCTGTGCTGCCTCCTGGAAGGCTGTTGTCAGTGACACATCAAAAAACATGGCTCCATCTCTCTATGAATGTATGTTTCCTTGCATTCTCTCTGCTTTATGTTCCTTGACTGAATTATATTTGGATCCGAGATTATCTCCATCAGGCGGATAGAGATGGAGATGAGAAGATGAGTTTTCAAGAAGTGAAGGACATGCTGAGGATGATAAACATTGATATGAATGACATCTACGCCTACACGCTCTTCAAGGTGACAGAAGTGATTTCCTTTATTAGTTATGGTGTATGGGTGTAGCATCACCACTCTCCAGATATAAGTTAAGGTGTATGGGTGTGACATCACCGCTCTCCAGATATAAGTTAAGGTGTATGTGTGTGACATCACCGCTTTCCAGATATAAGTTATGGTGTATGGGTGTGACAGAACCGCTCTCCAGACATAAGTTGTGGTGTATAAGTGTGACAGAACCGCTTTCCAGACATAAGTTGTGGTGTATGGGTGTGACATCACCGCTCTCCAGACATAAGTTATGGTGTATGGGTGTGACATCACCGCTTTCCAGATATAAGTTATGGTGTATGGGTGTGACATCACCGCTTTCCAGACATAAGTTATGGTGTATGGGTGTGACAGAACCGCTCTCCAGACATAAGTTGTGGTGTATAAGTGTGACAGAACCGCTTTCCAGACATAAGTTGTGGTGTATGGGTGTGACATCACCGCTCTCCAGATATAAGTTATGGTGTATGGGTGTGACATCCCCACTCTCCACATGTGTTATGATCTATGGGTGTGACATCACCGCTCTCCAGGTATAAGTTATGATGTAAGTGTGTGACGTCGCTGCTCACCAAACATACAGTAAATTACAGTGTATGAGTGTGACATCACTGCTCCCCAGATTTGTTATAATGTATGGATATGACATCAGCACTCTCTAGATATAAGATACAGTGTATAGATATTACATTACCACTCCCCAGGCAATGTAAAAATTTCCACTCTACAATAAAAAGAAGTCACACCAGTAATGGGAAGGGTTAAATTCTGTATTGGATAGACAGATTTCATGTGACAGCAATAATTACAAAAAATGAGACCCATTTTGGGCTCAGGCTGGCACAGCTAATGCATTCCTGAGCCTCCCATCCTGTAATAACATATTATTAGCCCCATGATGGTTGGTGGCCACCCTGCATACATTACGGGTCTCTCATCTTTTCTGATTTCAAGGGTAGCCATTGCTGGGCCTGGCCTGGCCTCTGCTGTAGAATTATATTCTGTATCTGCCTGGGCCTGTGGTTGCTTTGGCAAAAATGGATGTTTAAAATTAGACTCAGCGAGTGGCACACACCCATCTACTGTGCAATGCTTGAGCTGCTGCCAGAGACAACTGAGAAGCAAGCCTCGGGATTATTCACTAAGGCAAAAAGCAACGCACCTTAATCCATATCAGCCAATCAAAATGTGTCTGCCGCTCTTCTGACTAGAGTGAATGAAATCTGATTGGTTGTTATGAGTTGCTGCACGTTTGCAGTGCTCGCTGCATTTAACCCCAGTGGATAATTTATGAAGTGGGCAATGCACAGAACTTCCTATATACAAGAACAAGTGCAGTGTTTGCCCATTTCAGACAGTTAGATGTCAGCTGACCAAAGACAACTGGAATTCGATGGGTGCCAATGATCAACTCTTGGTCTTGCGTACACTTGGTTCAGATTGGTGAATCAAAATACTGACACAAGGGAGTCAACATGAGAGCCAGAGTACTGGAACAAGTAAGGGTGAGGCACTGAATTCAACTATTCTGAAGGACGGTTAGAATGTGATAAAGCACAATGGCTCCGCTGAGGCCTCTCTCAACAAAAACAGAATGTCCCACATGCAAGGATTACAAGGGTTGAAGATATATGCATCCCTACAGTCCAATAAGGACTGTATAAGAGTCCAAAAATGTTTAATAATGGAATGGGTTCATTATGGACAACACGGAACAGACAACATGTCGGGGTTTAGAGATTTCCTCCTTCTTCAGGGCTTAAATATGATGGGTAGTATTATGAACTCGAACACTGGCACAGATCACCAAGGATTATTATTTGCTGTGTAGGGTATAACCAACATCAGTGAATCAGCAAAACTAGTCAATTCATATTTTCAACATGAGAAGTCAACCACAGCATCCTCCATGTTTCTCTCAGCAAAAAGTTTTGGGCACAGGATGGCCATTGTTTTTAATGGTGCAAGTTCATGTCTGTGTGATGCATTATCATGCATTAAGGGGAATTTACTAAAACTGGAGCAGTCAGAATCTGGGGGGGTGCATGACAACCAATCAGCTTCTAGCTTCAGATTGCTCAGTTAAAGGAGATCTATGAGGTGAGTGATTTCCACTCATCCTCATAGTTAGAGCCGACTTTATGGATTGGGAAGTGAGCAGAAACATGCACTGATCCGCTCCCTTACCGATCGTCTCCCTGCAGTGAGTGGTGACTGTTAGTCACCGCTCCCCGCAGGGATTCCACGCTCCGATCCTCCAGTGCTGAGTGGAGGAACGAATGAGGGAGGGGACGGGCACAGCTGGCTCTGCCTCTAGATAGGCAGAGCCAGCTGTCACTCACGCAGCTGGGTGGATCTCGACAGTAATGTCGGGATCCATCCCGGCTGCAGCGCTCTCACTATATCATGGCCAATAGCCTGCTATATACTGAGCTTTGGGTCACGGGAGGACGCTAGTATATGTCCTCCCGTGACCCTAAAAAGGGAAAAACACTTACCCCATAGTTCTCTTTTAAGCTTTGAAAATCAAAGCTAGAAGCTGATTGGTTGTCATGCACAGCTGCTCTAATTTTTGTCTCCTCCGGTTGTAGTAAATTCCCCCCCCCCCATCGTCTTATAGGTTATAGGGCCTATGGATGACAATGGAAGCACATGAGAATGCATGATTGTTGGTAAATATGTGAAAACATGGGGAGGTGTGATTCCAGCCTTATGGCTTCCTAAACTCTGCCATGTTGAAGTGATACAGCCTCCAGCAAAGTCAGTCTTTACATCCACTACACTTCCGCACAGTGCTGAATGCTTGCATCCCCCACTTCCCGCTTGCTGTGGTTCCTCCTACTGGCTTCTATATGACTACAATAGTGACATAGGGGCAGACAGAAGGAATCATTGATCATGAAGGGGGGGGGGACCAGGCATCTGACACACTTATCAGCATGTCCAATATTAAGACTTTTCTGTGGGCTGTATCGCTTGCACATGCCTGACCTGCCCCCTGCCGTCACAGTCTTCTGTAGCAGGGTACAATCTGTCAAGCTTTTTTCGAGAAGTTGCTTTAAATACCCCAAATGTAAGCTGTATGAGTATGAAAGCCTTGAAAATCCAAGCTTTCCTCAGTGTATGTCACATGATCAGTGCCACAGCACTGGTCACATGTCCTCTGCCGAAAGGGCCTTTGAAGGAGTGATATTCAGGTTCTACTTCTTCAGGTTCCCAATACTTTTTAATGATTTTGTATTCCTTTGTGCAGAAATGTGACCGCTCTAACACGGATAGGCTGGAGGACCATGAAATCGAGGAGTTCTGTACCCAGCTCATGTACAGGCCAGAGCTGGAGGAAATATTTCACGAGTATTCTGGCGAGGACCGTGTCTTGTCTGCAGAGGAGTTACAAGAGTTTCTGCAGCATCAGGGGGAAGAAGCCACCCTAGAAAGGGCACGGGAGATCATCCACAAGTATGAGCTGAATGAGAAAGGTCAGTTTAGGGGATGCTGGAAGCAGACTGTACCAATTGACAATGTCACACCAAATGGGTATCGGATGTTTGCAAAGTGTCATCTGATTCTCCATTGTCTTCATATGGCAGACTTCATCGGCCAAAAAAAGCCAAAATTGATTTTTAGCATTAATTTCAGCTCTTCCATGGACGTTTTTGACTATTTTTGTGGGAAAAAGGGTCTTCATGGTGAATATTGACTTCTGCTGTTGCTTTTGCTGCATGTTCATTTAATTTATTTATTACAGATATTTATATAGTGTCGACAATTTACGCAGCACTTTACATAGAGCACATTCACATCAGTCCCTGCCCTCAAGGAGCTTACAATCTAAGATCCCTATCTCACATGCATACATAGAGGGCCAACTTAGACAGGAGCCAATTTACCTTCCAGCATGTCTTTGGAGTGTGGGAGGAAACCGGAGCACCCGGAGGAAACCCACGCAAGCACAGGGAGAACATGCAAACTCCATGCAGATAGTGACCCTGGCCGGGATTCGAACCGGGGACCCCCCGTGCTGCAAGGCAGAAGCGCTAACCATGAGACACAATTAGTGCTGGACAGCCCCTGTCATTCAATTATGGGTTTTGGCCAGTGAAGTCTTGCCAAGCTTTTTGTATGTAGTCATAACCACAGAAACTGTTGTTCTTGAAACATCAATGTTGCTGTTATAGATGCTTCAGTCAAATTGGCACCAACATGTTGTACTTCTTGGACGTCTTGACAAGTCTTGTACTGTCTGCTGCTGAGTACAATGTAAAACACAGGAATACAACCTACAGGGCAAAAATGATAATTGCAGTTTTTTTTTTCTTTCAGTGTAGCCAACAAATAATTGCTATAATACTGCTATTTACATTATTGTGTCCACCCCCTGTATTGCATTTCAGTTCATAAAATTGATCAAGGTTTACCAGTGTAGCGCTCTGGAGGAGCTGCTGAGATGTTGGGTCCTCCTGCCACTTCTAGTGGTGAACTCAACCCAGCACTCACCGACACACCGGTAATGATCCAAAACAAAGCCTTATGAGATAATAGGCCCTGCAGCTAGAACAATAATAACACAGGTCTTATCACAGAATAGCTGAGATTTCATAGAATACCAGAATAATAAACAGCACACTAACACAATTAGTCATTGTTCCCTTAACGTGCCTGTGAATGGTGTGGCCTTGGCTAAATGAAGGGAACAACAATGGACTAGGCTAAATGACAGTAGCAAGGTGTCTTTTCTTATAGTGCTTAGTCCCTACCTATACCAACAGATATAAAGTCTGCTAGCGGGGGGCTGTAAACTCTCCTTGGAGTGCTGACTCTCTGAATATGAGTGTTTGTGATCCACAAGGAAACGCGCCCAGATTGTCCTGGCGGTAGCAAAGCTCAGCACCAGCAAGAAAGCTTAACACAGCTACAGGTGGCCAAAAGGTCTCTCACCACTGGTGATAAGTAGACTTCTGTTGGTCAGCAGTCTGTTCCCTGAAGCCTGCACCTGCCCAAGACTCAGCACCACAACACTGTCCTCCCGCTCAGCACAGGAGCACTTCGTTGCCTTCTCTCCTTCCTGTTAGGTGTGGTGGTTGGGGCTAAAAAATATGGGTTGTAGAATGCTGCCAATCACAGTCTGGCTCCCCTAGTCTCCAACAAAATGGCCACCATCTCTCCAGCTCAGAGGACACTTCCTCCTCTGACTTGATGTCCTGTCACTGTCATTCAAATGGTTGTGGAAGACAGGCAAGCCACGGCGATAATGTTAATATCTGGCTTCCACACCTTAGGCCCCATTCACACTGAGTGATTCGCAAATCGCGCGTTTGTCACGCAATTTGCATTTTGCGCGATATCGCACGGTTTGTAGCGCGATATCGCGCAAATGGTTGCATTGAGCAAACTAGAATCGCGGCAAAATCCGCTCCAAAAAGGGTCCTGCTGTAGCGACGCACGACCCGCGACAGCGACGGACAGAGCCCCATTACCATGTATTGGAGAGCGATATCGCGCGGTAAATATTGCTCAGTGTGAATGGGGCCTTAGAGGAGCCAGCCGCCAGCCAGGGCTACACCATTAATGGTAGGTTGCCTTAATTCTTTCAATCACTTTCGATCAGGTGCGTAACTACAGATCATGGGGCCACATAGAAAACTTTTAATAGGGCCCCATGGAAAACCCTTTAAAATCTAAATCAAGGATAGGTAACAGGAGAGCTGTCTGCATAGTCCCTTCCTGTACATCTGATATCAACTCTACTTGATTGGAAATGCCATAAGGGGTACAGGGTCAACAGCAACTGCAGCAATCCTTCATTGGGGCCCCTTCCACCCCAGGCCCCATAGCAGCTGCATGGGCTGCTATGGCTATTGTTACGCCCCTGCTTTCGATAGTCAAAGCTGGTTGACAACAATTTAAATTGCCAGAAATAGTTACGTGTATGGCCAGAAAATGTGTGAGTGGAGCTGCTGTGACAGAAGAGCCATAGCACCTCATTGTGCTGATACTTTAGACATAGGAGGGTCAGTGATTCAGATGCTCCGCACGGGAACATTATCATCTCGTTTGAACTGGTCCAGATGGGGCCAGATAACTGGTTGAACTGGTTATGTTTTTAAATAGGTCTATCCTTTCATGTGCTGTGCTGAAACTCTATGACATAAGGGCGTGGGATGTCAGCAGTACACACAGCTTCATGTGACATAATCCACCAGTCTGATTCATTATCACTTCTGTAACACTTTGCAGACAATTTTCACATACTGATGTCATGCAATTTCCAGCTGCTGTAGCGGAGATTCACTATATAGTCAGCTCCATATTATTGCTTAGGGTTGTGGAATGGAATATCCAGCAGAGCTGTGGGAGGGTCCCATCAGGCTCCACCCACTACAGACCCCCTGCAGAAAACTAAAGAGAGGGTGGAGACAAGACCAGTCACCCTGCACAAGGAGATAGAGCGGCAGTCACCGGTCTTTGTTACAGGAAGCTCCGGCACCCACTGGATTATTGCACAGATCTGGAAGAAATGCACAAAGCTCACCAAGATTCAAGTAAGAATCTGCTTTAACCCCTTCATGACTGAGGCCTTTTTTTAAATTTTTTGCACCAATGTTATATTCCACATTTTAGGCCTGAAAATGACTTAAAACCCCCCAACATTATATATTTTCTGAATGCCAAGACCCTATAGAATAAAATGGTGGTAGCGCAACTCCTTATTAAACCCCAACATTTAGTGAAAAATGTAATTTAATGCCCCAAAACACAACAAAATACCCATGTTTTTAATGAAATATAAAAGATGAGGTTACAACGAGTAAAACGATACCCAACATGCCCAGGTTACAAATTGCGTGCGTCCGTGAAACGGCGAAAAACTGCAGTACCCCAAAAAGTCCATAGAAGACGCTTTAAAAGCCCCCACGGGTCATCAATTTAGAGATACCCCAAAATACTGGCCCTAGAATTATTGCTCTCACTCTGACATGCGCGGCGATACCCAACATGTGTAGCGCGTTCGTCGTTTTCATACATAGGCGCACCCAACGCGTGTTTACGTGGCGATGCACGTGCTCACGGGGGCGGGGGACTTTTAAATTTGTTTTATTATTATTAGATTTATTTTATTTTAATTTTACTACGGGACAGGTAAGACGCCAGAATCACTTCTGTTGTAAAGCCGACAGTCGGCTCTACAAGTTTAAACAGCCCCGATGCTGGCGACGTACACTGTACGTCATCAGTCACGAAGGGGTTAAGGGCCCATTCACACCACATCCAGGTCATCTCCAGACCAGACCAGATTGTTTCCGGACCCAAAATGCATCCTAAATGTATCCCTATGCTATTTATGGCCTCTGTTCACACCAGCGCAGTCCAGACCAGACCAGAAAAATACGGCATGTCTCATTTTGTCCGGGCTGGAATGCACTGGAACGCATAGAAACGCATCAAAAATGCATGGAACGCACTGGAAGGCACCTGAGAGCCAATTTTAAGCTAAAAAAACCCAGCTCCCGAATGCAGTAAAATCGCTGCAAAAACGCGATGCACTGCATTCCAGATCTGGTCCGGGAAATGGTGTGAACCCAGCCTAAAGGGTATCTAAACCTAAAAACAAAAATGTAATACTGTGCGGCTTACCAGGCCTCAGATGTGGGGGCTGCATTCGTTTTCAGCAAGTACATAAAACAAATATTGATGCTGCCAGAAATGCAGGGTCCCTGTTACTTCCTATGAGCTTATAAGAAAGCCCAAAGGACCTGGATGATTGGTTCCCTGGGCAACTGCACCAGATTCTATCTGCTCCAGTTTTAGTTAATGCAATTGGTCCACCGTGTGAAAGAGATGAACCAAGGCAAACATGTTTGAAGTCCAGCCTGTTGTGACAGCCATGGCTCCCTCCAGAGATACCATGGGGGAGTGAGTATAGACACGAAGGGGCAGGAAGTGGGTTATTTCCAGTATTCCGGGTGAAAATAAAGGGGAAAAAGTCTAAAAAAAGAGAAAACGAATGCAGCGACCACATCTGAGGACCGGCAAGCTGCAATATATTACAGTTTTAGATTTAGATATCCTTCAGGGCCCATTCACACTTGTGTGAACACATGGCAATGCATGTGCTCTATGTGCAATGTGACACAACGATGCATTGTATAGTATAGCCCAATGCACCACATAGCATATGCCGTGCATTATGGTGCGCCGCTTTTTTCAAAAAGGGCCATGTACGTTTCTTCCATCTGTTGTGGTGTGTTAGTGCAATGGGCTGCCTTGACGAAACAAATGTTAACACGTGAAAGTCTTGCGAGGGCCTGCTGCAGGAAGAAAGAATCAGTAGGGTGCCCTACAGCAGTTTTGTTGGTGTATGCACACACCCCCAGGACTACATCTCCCAAGAGCATGTTCCCTACACACAGTTGGAGTCAAGGCAACAGCATGGTTTAGCTAGGAAATAAATCAATGTCTTGCGAGGGGCAGCTACAAGAAGAAGGAATCAGTACGGCAGTTTTATCGGTGTATGCACACAAACCCCCCCCCCCCCAGACTACATCCCCCAAGAGCCCTTTGCTTGCACCACGTT